AGGACGGGCAGGGTCAGAGACCAGAGCGGTAGCGTAGTCAAGGCGGCGGGTAGAAGCGAAGTCAGCGACAGCAGCGACAAGCGCGTCAAGGCGCGAGACAGGAACAGCAGGGTCGGTAACAAGAGAGGCAAGGACCCGAGGGACAAGGGGACGAGCAGCACGGAGGTAGTCAGAGAACGGAGGAGGTGCAACAGCAAGGGACGAGGGAGGAGGGGACGGGAGGAGGGGAGGACGAGACGAGTGGGAACGGAGCAACATAGGGTGGGTGGGCAGGACAGGAGAGACGGGACGAGCACGGGAGGGACGGCGAGCCCAAACGTGAGACGGAGGGGTAGGGTCAGGGGACAGCGGAGGAGACACAGGAGGGGAACGAGGAGGAAGACGGGCCGGAGACGAGTCTGGCGGCGGGAACACAGGACCGTAGACAGGGAGGTCAGGAGGCGGTGGGGGAGACACCGGCGCGCGGTCCGGGGAGGGAAGGCCGAGCAGGCGGAGAGCGGAAACCGGCGGCGACGGCTGCTGCGGCGGCGACGACGGCTGGGCCGGAACTCTCGGACCAGCAGAGGCAGAACGACCGTCGGCAGAACACTCAACAGCAGCACCCCCAGAACCAACACCCCCAGAGCGAGAACCCCCTCCAACACCAGCGGCACCCCCAGAAGCCGCAGGACGAACACCCTCCTCCACACCAGCACCCCCAGGGGCCGAGAGCAGCGGCGGCAGTGGCGGCAACGGCTGCGGCGGCGGCGACAGCGGCGACGGCTGCGGCAGCGACAGCGGCGGCGGCGGCGACGACAGCGGCGACGGCTGCGGCGGCGACGGCGACGGCGGCGGCAGCGGGGTCGGCGACTGCGACAGTGGGGGCGGAGGCACCGGGGAAGGGGGACGCGGCAAGGACGGACCGGGGGTACCACCAGAGTCAGCAGACTCCTCAACGGGGACAACCGACGGGAGGGGAGTGACGTGGGAGACACCAGACGGGGCAGGACGAGGCGGGAGAGGGGCAGGGGCTACCGGGGGAGAGGGAGCAAGGAAAAGGGGGGGGGCAACTGGGAGACCTCGGTGAGGGAAGCGGCGGTAGAAGGAGACGGACTCATCAAAGGTGACGTCACGAGAGTGGAGGAAGCGGTGAGACGGCGGGTGGTAGAAAAGCCAGTCAGACGAGTCCAGGGGGAAACCGAGGAAGACACAGGGGACAGTGCGGGCAGTGAGCTTGTCCGTGCCAGAGGCACGAACGTGAGCAAGGCAGCCCCAGACGTGGAACGCAGACGCGTCACCGGGGGACCCGGTCCAAAGGAGGGTCGGCGAAACCTGCGGCCGCTGGGAGCGTGGCCACAGGTTAAGCTGGTGAGCCGCGTAGCGAACAGCGAACGGCCACAGAAAATGGGGGGCATCGGCATGGATCATGGAGGTACGGGCGACCTCCATGACCAAGCCGATGCGGCGCTCAGCAACCCCATTCTGCTGTGGCGAGTCCGGCAACGTGTACGACTGGGTGATGCCCTCCGCACGACAGAACTGTCCAAGCCGACCAGAGGCGAACTCGCCGCCACGGTCGGAGTGGAGACACAACACGGGGAGACCGCGGTGGAGACGCGCAGCCACAACCCACGGGAGAAGAACGTCGGGCACGTCGGCCTTCCGCTCCAGGGGAAACACCGTGGTGTAGCGCGTGTAGTCGTCGACAAGCACAAGGAAGTAGCGCTCACCGCGCGGTCCGGGGACGGGGGCAGGGCCCCAAACGTCCAAGTGCAGGGTCTGAAGGGGGGCAGTAGCAGGACGCAGCGAGGAGGAGTGAGGAGCACGGCGGAGCCGACCCTCGACGCAAGGCGTGCACGGTGGCGCAGTCGAGGGAGGAAGGGCAGGGAGCGACGCGGGGAGATCTAAGACAAGACCGTGCTGGGACATGTGACGCAGACGCGGGAGAGCAGGGTGACCTAAGCGGTGGTGCCAGAGAAGGGAGGGGTGAGTGAGGGACCGACACGAGCAAGCTGCAGCGACCTGGGAGGACGCACCAACCGGGGGGGAAGCGGTGTGTAGGGTAAACAGACCGGACACCGGGTCCCGGGGGAACGTCGCAAGGGGGGAACCTGAGACAGCCTCAGAATAGACAGCGAACCGCTCGTGCCCGGGGAACGTGGTGGTGACGCCGAGGTCCTGGAGACAGCCGACACCAACCAGGTTCCTGGAGAACGAGGGAACGTGGAGGCCAGTAAGGGAGCCCGAGGGAACTGCCGGACAGGGAAGGGACGTAGAACTGCGCGCGACGACCGGACCCGCAGAGGGGTCAGCGAGAGAGACAACAGCAGGTGCAGCAAGCGGCGTGAGCGTGGAACGGTCGCGGAAGAAGCAGGCAGAAGCACCAGAGTCGAGAGTGAAGGACAGCGACGCAGTGGCGGGGGCCGGGGACGGAGCCGGTGCAGCGACTAGACTAGGCAACCTAGGCAGTCCTACGCCTGTCGCAGCAGGGGAAGCTAAGCTACACAAGGGTGAAACATCTAAACTAGAGTACACAGGGTAGTAAGATCCATCAACACTAGAAGCGTCAGCATACAAAGCATGCAAAGCAGCACCTATCTGATCCATGTCTAACTCAAAGATCGGCACGCCCTGGCGGAGCAGGCTGTGCCAGTCAGGGAGGTCCGGGGCCGGGCCAAAGCGACGACGAAAAAGATCGTCGAGGCGGCGGAAACAGCGGGCGGTCGGGTGCGGGCGGCGGCACAGAGTGCCGCGGAGAGGCCCGGTCTGAAGCTGGTACTGGCAGGTCACAGCACTGGAGCCGCTGGTAGACGCCAAGCTGCGCGGGCCGCCACCACGGCCACCGCCTCCGGAGGTGCCGGGCCAACCAGGCGGGAGACGAGCCCACGGCTGCGGCGGGTGCTGCTGGGACGGCGGCTGCGGCTGGGGCTGGTCCTGCTGCTGCTGGGACTGCTGCTCCTGCCCACCGGTGGTAGTCCCCTCAGGCGGACTACCGTCACCACCACCACGACCACTACCACCTGCGTCACCACCCCTACCTCCCTGGCGGCCACGGCCACCGCGACGCGAGCGCTGCTGCGGGTGGACAGCAGCAGCCGTCTCGGTAAGAGGGGTCGCCGTGGCGACCGCAGCCGAAACGTCAGTGAACGTGCACGGGGATGGGGCACAGCCGTGAAAGATAGAGACTGGCGGCGCACCGCTCGACTGAGCGATAGTGCGCTGGCGAGTCTCGATCTCAGTGAGGGTGTCGACAAAGACGGTCAGGGTGAGGTCACCCGGGTGCTGGCTAAGAAAGTGGTCGCGAGCACTAGCGAGGCGGTCTGGCAGGCGCATAGCGATAAAATAGAGCGTCATGCAGAAAGGAGGGGGGAGCGCAGTGAGCTGGGCAGCAGTGCTGGCAGTGCGATAGCGAGTCTCTAGGGCACGCAAATGAGTGGCAAAATCTGCGACAGTAGGGAAGGCAGCCAGGTCTGGGAACAGCATCGGAAAGAGCAAGCGGCCAGCAGAAGCGGAGGCAGGGGTGGAATAGCGAGCAATAACGGCGTCTAAATAAGCTTTGGCCGTTTCAACAGTAGCAAAACGCGAGCGCTCAGACACAGGGAGGGCGTGACTAATAGCAACCTGAGCTACTGCATCGCGTGAGTCCCAGATCGCACAGGCCAGCGCAGCAGTAGAGAAAGCCTCACGGTCATCAGAGGAGGGGTCAGCAGGGAGGGGAGTAGGTGCAGGGGGACGGGGGAGCAAGCCATCAGCATGGACAACCAGAGAGTGGCCATCCTGGCGCTGACCTGTAAGCTGGCGGCGAAGATCGGAGAGCCAGGCGGCGAAGTCAACCGCGTGGCCCTCAGCGTCCAGGCGGAGCACAAAGTCAGCCATCGTGCAGGGTCAGCGGCACAGCTCCTCAGCGACACAGGAGCACAGCAGCACAGCTCCTCAGCAGCACAGGAGCACAGCGGCGCGGGGACACGGCGGCAGCACTCTCCAGTAGGGCAGCAGCTAGGCGTCCCAGCGCAGGCAAGCAGAAGACACAGGGCCCGAGAGGACACGACAGGCCGAGCAGGGGAGGCGGGCAGGTGCTCTGGGGCCGGGCTGGTGCTGGGAGGGGCCAGGCTGGTGCTGCTGGGGCCGGTCGGGCACGAGGAGGGGCCGGGCAGCGCTGAGGAGAGGCCGGGCGGCGCTAGGAAGGGGCCGGGCGGCACTAGGAGGAGGCCGGGCGGCACTAGGAGGAGGCCGAGCGGCACTAGGAGGAGGCCAGGCGGGCGAGCGCTAACAGCAGGCGCGACAGGGGCCAGCGGGCGCGACGGGGCCTAAGGGGCGCGACGGGGCCCAGCGGGCACGACGGGGCCCAGGGGGGGCGCGACGGGGCCGAGGAGGCGCGACGGGGACCAGCGGGCACGACGGGGCCCAGGGGGGCCGCGACGGGGCCTAACGGGCGCGACGGGGCCCAGGGGGGGCGCGACGGGGCCTAGCAGGCGCGACGGGGCCTAGGAAGCGCGAAGGGGCCCAGCGGGCGCGACGGGGCCTAGGAGGGGCGCGACGGTGCCGAACGGGCGCGACGGGGCCCAGAGGGGGGGGACGCGACGGGGCTTAGGAGGCGCGACGATGCCTAGGAGGCACGACGGGGCTCAGCGGGCTCGACGGGGCCCATGGGGGGCGCGACGGGGCCTAGGAGGCGCAACGGGGCCCAGCGGGGGCGCGTTAGGGCCTAGGGGTCGCGACGGGACCCAGCGGGCGCGACGGGGCCTAGGGGGAGCGCGACGGGGCCTAGGAGGCGCGACGGGGCCCAGCGGGCACGACGGGGCCCAGGGGGGGCGCGACGGGGCCTAACGAGCGCGACGGGGCCCAGGGGGGGCGCGACGGGGCCTAGGGGGCGCGACGGGGCCTAGGAGGCGCGACGGGCGGAAGCGGTAGGCGGGGGGATCCTAACCTAAGCGTGATACCATGTTAACGTAGAAACGAATGATTACTAGAGGTGGAAACCTAGAACAAATACTAGTTGGTTGTACTCACTAGAAGCATACCTCAGTCTAGCCTATAACTTCTACATAGATAATATGTATAAGTTGACAAAGCCACCAAAGTCTTAGATGCAGAGGTACACACCTGTATTTCTGCGATTTTGAGGCTGATTGTCTATGCATGCGATGCGAGCAACCTTGCTTCAAACCTATGCATGTTCAGGAATTTATCAACAAAAGACGCTAGTCCACCACACACAAAGGGTATTATCAACTTACGTCCTAATGGTCTATGCAGACAATGCTGGATCCGCAAGTGAATTACCAAGCTGAACCGCCCTCAAATGTGCATGACAACACTCGCACCGCACTGTACCGTGCGCGTTGGATCCTATTTTTTTCCGGATCCAACTCCGTAGGAATACGCCCTATGCAAGCTACCTTCGTAACACAAATATTCACTATCATTGGGTTGAAGCATACAAAGGGTTGCGAATTCGCAACTCTTGAGCAAGTGCCGGGTCCAATTCTCCAGTGCCTTGACTCAATTCAACCACTTCCTATAAAGGGGCAGTGCCAGGGCAGAGATGTGCAGGAGAAGAGATGGGATCACTGGAGAAATTAGTCATGGTCAGACAGGGGGAACAGATGCATAAGTGACAAAGTTAACCGCCCACTCAATTCAGCACCTGTGATATTAACAGCCAGCGCTGCACATGTCCTGCAGCATCCAAACTTGTCTGTACTCGATGCAACTTGAAACTGCCCAAACCTTTGAATTGCTGTGCCATTTCCCCAACTGCTCGTTTTGCCACACTCCCACTCACCTCGGCAGCCTTCCTCGCGTCCTCCAGAATGTCCAGATCCTTATCCAGCCGCGCCAGGTTGAATCCCGGCAGCCGCCCATCACGCCCTGGCAGGGTTCTCATTGCATTACAGCCCCCCATAGTCCCCAACAGCCCAGCATACACCCCTTGCTCTGTGCAGCACAGCCCCCAACGGTCCCTAACATTCCCACTCACCTCGGCAGCCTTCCTCGCGTCCTCCAGAATGTGCAGGTCCTTATCCAGCCGCGCAAGGTTGAACCCTGGAAGCCGCCCGGACTGCTTCTTCCCCAGCAGCTCCCCCGGGCCGCGCCTCTTGAGGTCCAGCTGGGCCAGCTCAAAGCCGTCCTGCAAGGACGGGAGGGATGGGGGGTAACGGGGAGGAGAACGTGATGAAAATGAGAGGAAAGGGACATGCTGCTTCTTCCCCAGCAGCCTCATTGGCCTGCGCACATTCAGGTCCAGCTGGCCCAGCTTGAGGTTGTCCTGGAGGGGCAACGGGGAGGAGAATGGGAGAGTGCAAAGCGTAATGTTGGGGTACCAAACAGCACCTCTCTCTCCCCACTCTCCCCACTCGCCCCCTCTCCTTCCTCTCTGCATTCTTCCTTTCTTCCCAGCCGCCTCCTCTCGCCACTCCCCCCCACACACCTGCTACGTTTCCAGCAGCTTCAGCTTCTCGCGAGCGCTTTTGCAGCTCCCCACCAGCAAGCAGCGTGACTTTCGGCGGCCCCTCCCCACCCTCCCCCACAACTGGTGCAACACGCCAAGCCATACCGCTCCACATGCTCCACCACCCACCACCCACCACCCATCACCCACCAACCACCACCCCCCATCACCGTCAACAAACTGCTCACCTGTGATGTCTCCAGCAGTTTCAGCTTCTGGCGAGCGCTCTTGGAGCTTCCAACCAGCAGGCAGCGCGACTTGCGCTGGCCCCTGCCCACCCGCCCCCTCAGCTGGTGCAGCTGCGCCAAGCCGTAGCGCTCTGCGTGCTCCACCAGCATCACCGTGGCCTCGGGGATGTCGATCCCCACCTCGATCACTGTCGTGCACACGAGCACCTGCAGTAGACGGAAGAAAATGGACAAGGGACAATGCGTTTGAATGAATGTATGTGTACTGATTCTACCGCTCTGCGTGCTCCACCAGAATTACTGTGGCCTCGGGAATGTCGATGCCCACTTCTATAACGGTTGTGCACACGAGCACCTGCAAAATGAGGAAGCGAGGGGCACGTGTGAGTATTGTGTGTAGGCGCACTGATATCTCGCGCCAAGCCGTAGCGCTCCCCATGCTCCACCAGCATCACCGCGGCCTCGGGAAAACGATTCCCGACTCTATGACCATTCTGCACACGAGCACGCTCCTGCAAGAAATGAGCTTCTGTGAATACACATATGAACAGGAACGGATGAGAGAGAATTCTTGTGAATGCATGTGCATTGGCGCCTAGCCTAGTGCCGCGACGCACCAGCACCACGGTTGCCTTGAGAATGTCTATCCCCACCTCTATAACCATCGAGCACACGAGCACCAGTGGAGGGAACAGCACATGTACGATTGCTGTTCCCAATCCCCGCACCGCACCAGGAGCACATGTAAGCACATGTAAGAGCACTTTTGCCGGCCCCTTCCCTTGAACAAGTAACACCAAACCAGGAGCACCTGTATGGATCCTTCTTGGAAGCTGCGCACGTACCTGTATAGATCCTTCTTGGAAGCTGCGCATGACGCTGTCCTTTTCGTCTGGCTCCATCCGCCCATGCACCAGCCCACAGCGCAGCCTTCCAAGAGACTCATCATCCGAATCATCGTCAGAATCAGCGCCATCAGAACCATCGGCATCAGAACCATCGGCATCAGAATCAGAGATTTCAAAGACTTGGTCATCGTATTGAGGACCGTACATGGCATCCAGCTCGGCGTTATACTGGTCTGTGTCGTAACCAGTGGGGTCCTCACTGTACCAAACATGCGGCCCCCTGTTAGGGATGTGCGGGCAACCATCACTGTCACTGCCAGCACCGCTGCAAGTGCTGCTGCCAGGTCTTAACGGCCGACCAAGCAGGCCGCCCTGTTTGGTCAGCAGCTTAAATTCTTCTGTGGCTGGCCGGATTCCCGGGAGCTCCTCTGAGGCGTCGATGATTGGAAAGACAATGAAGGCTCGGCCGCCCGACTCTACCTCGTCCCGAAGAATCTGCAGCAGACACGGATCACAGAGGAGAGGAGGGGAGAGGAAGGGTTCTTGAGTCGACTCAAAAGAAGGATCTGCAGCAGATATGGATAATGCCGGGAGAGGAGAGGAGAGGGAGGGATGGCAGGGTGGGTGGGCTGGGAGTGGAGGGGAAAAGCTCTGCTCCAGAGTCGATAGTTGGGACGACAACGAAGGCCCGGCTGCAAGACTCGACCTCTTCCTGGAGAATCTGCATTAGGAAGAGGCCGCAAGACTCGACCTAATGCATTAGGTCGGAAAAGGAGCGAATGCGTTGAGATTTTGAGAATTCTCAAGAAGCTATCTTTAGGTGAGGAAAGGAGAAGCGACCGGGTGAGGTGAAGGGTCCCAGGAGAACCTAATGGACCACCCTTCAGTTACTCAGTAGCAAGGCTCCAAACTGCCATTAACCTTGCCATTAGCCCGCCCCCTCACCCCCCCACCCCTCCCTCTTCCCCCCCCCTCCCTCTTCCCTTGTCTCACCTGGTACGCCACAGCCCTCTCTTTCGCTTCCGATTCCTCCTCATCCTCCGAATCACTCTCCTCCCCCTCGCTGCCGCCCTTCCCCTCCTTGTCATAAAAGACAAGGGTCTCCACCGGCGTGCGGCCGGGCGGCAGCTCGGCGATCTGCGAGATGTCGGTGTCGCCATGCAGCACGAGGGCAAGTGAGCGTGGGATGGGTGTGGCGGTCATAGTGAGAGTGTGGGGCTCCGAGAGAGGGGGAGGGGGGGAGAGGCGGAGGAGGAGGAGGAGGAGGAGGAGGAGGAGGAGGAGGAGGAGGAGGAGGAGGAGGAGGAGGAGGAGGAGGAGGAGGAGGAGGAGGATTCACTTCCGGATTCAGCAGCTGATTCGGTGTCGCTGGCACTTCCTTCTTCCTGCTGCTGGCTGTTGAGGAGAGCCACAGAACCCTGCAGGAATCACGGGAGTGGAGCGTGGGGGGAGGGGCAGAGAAATAAACTGGTGAACTTGAGTCGCCTCAAGAATCTCTCTCCGTGATCTGCAAGATGTGGGTGTCGCCGTGCACGTTGGAGTCGGCCCTTGGCGATCTGCGAGATGTCGGCGTCTCCGTGCAGCACAAGGGCGAGCGAACGGGGGATCAGCATGGCCGTCATGGTGAGAGTGTGGGGCTCCGAGAGAAGAGGGAGGGGGGAGGAGGACGACGAAGAGGAGGAGGAGGAAAATTCACTCCCGGATTCAGCAGCTGATTCCGTGTCGCTGCCGCTTCCTTCTCGTGCACGTTCCCCCTCTCGCGCAGACGTGCATTCTGGTTAATCCGCGATGGCCAGCCCCAGGCGGTGGAAAGAAGCGGCTCGTGAGGCGCTGGAACAACCCACCTCCTGCCTTGAAACTCCATCCATCGGCCCGTGCATGCCCCAGTTACTCTCACCTTCTCATTCCTCTCACCTTCTCCTGCAGTCTGGCCCACTGGTTGACTCCGAACCTATGCTGCTCGTCCATCGACCACAATGGCCAGCCCCATGCGGTGGTTAGATGTGACTCGTGAGACGCTGGACCAGCCCACCTCCTGGCTTCAAACACCGTCAATCCTCCTGTGCTTTACCTGGTGCCTTCTCACCTTCTCCTGCAGTCTCCCGCTGGTTGACTCTGAAGCGGTGCTGCTCGTCCACCATGGCCAGGCCCAGGCGATGGAAGGAGGTGGCTGTTGTGGCTGTTGGGGCAGGGGTGCATCAACCATTGCTTGCGCAGACTACTCTCAGTCTCATGCAACTCTCTCCTAGGAGGTCTACCTCACCTCCTCATGCCTTCTCACCTTCTCCTGCAGCCTGGCCCGCTGGTTGACTCCGAACCGGTGCTGCTCGTCCACTATTGCCAGCCCCAGGCGGTGGAAAGAAGTGGCCTTGGCGATGAGCGCGTGCGTGCCGATCACGATAGAGGTTCGACCCTCCTTGATGGCCTGGCATGGTCAAGGAGATGAGGGTAGTACAAGGAGACTTAGACCTAGGTGGTGGAAAAGGACGTGGCCTTGGCCCTTGGCAATCAGTGCATGTGTGTCAATGACGATAGAGGTCCGCCCTTCCTTGATGGCCTGGGGGGTTGTTGCGAGCAGGGCAAGTGCAGGGGGGCAACGGCGGGGAAAGTGCACCAAGCAACTGAGGCCGAGGAGAGGAGAGCACGTGCAGGCGTGGGCAATGAGCACGTGCATGCGTGGGCAATGAGCACGTGCAGCGTGCCGATGCTATGATGATGATAGAGCCCGCCCTTCCTTGATGGCCTGGAGGGGACAAGGCAATGGGGATAGTACAAAGAGACTTGGTTTGGACTCAGGCGGTGGAAAAGGCGTGGCGGTGGGAATGAGGGCGTGCGTGCCGATGACGATAGAGTCCGCCCTTCCTTGATGGCCTGGAGGGAATGACGGAGAGACCAGCATGAAATGGTGGAAAGAGGTGGGCTTGGTAGAACGAGCAGCCGTTTTCAACCCCAAACCCCTGACCCAAACCCTGAAACGCCAAACCCAAACCCCAAACCCTTCAACCCCAAGCCCTGAAACCTAATCCTCAGACTGTCAGCCCAAATCTACGAAACCTAACACCCCCCTAGATCTTACACCATGAACAAGAGATTAAGTCGGCCCCCTTCACTCACCAGCCGCACGGCCTTGGCCCGTTTCACCGTCGCGGTCAACAAACAAACAGTCGGTCGGCGAGCAGGAGGCAGCGCCTCGAGTAGTTGCTCAAAGCGCGCGTAGTGCTGCTGGGCGAGGAACTGCGTGGGAGCCATGACTGCCACCTGGTAGCCCTGCGCCACCGCCTCCATGCATGCTAAAAGGGCCACCACCGTCTTGCCACACCCCACATCGCCCTGTAGGAGCCGAGCCATGGGCACGGGCCGGTTCATGTCAGAAATTATCTCCCGGGCAGCCTGCATCTGCCCAGCTGTGAGCCTGTACGGCAGCGAGGCGAGCATTTCTTGCGTGAGGGGAGCCCAGTGTTCCGCGCTCAGCACCGTCCGATTCCACTCAGCGGATCCTACGGCGGCGGATGCGGCTGCCAGGTGGCAGAGCTGGATTCGGCGGCGCAGCAGCAGGATGCGCAGCTGCAGGAAGAAGAATTCGTCAAACACGAGGCGGCGCCGGGCGGCGGGGAGGAGCGTGCGGTCGGGCGGGCAGTGGATGGTGGCGAGGGCGAGAGGGAGAGGGACGAGGTTGTAGCGAGAAAGGAGGGAGGGGGGGAGATAGTCCATCGCTGGAGGGATGTGCTTGATTAACCTGTGTGGGGGGAACGGGGAAGGGGTTGGAGAGTCTATTTTTGAGGCACCTCAAAAATAGACTCCTCACGCTTGATTAACCTGTGTGGGGGGGACGGGGAAGGGGTTGGAGAGCGGGCGTTTCCCCATGCACATGCATCATATATCGTTGCAAGCAGTCTGTATGTATGCTATGCGCATGCTACATGCGTGCAATGCGCATGCTACATGCGTGCAATGCGCATGCTACATGCATGCAATGCGCATGCTACAAGTGTGCAATGCGCATGCTACATGCATGCAATGCGCATGCTACACTCACAGTAGCGGCATCACAGCACATGTCTTTCTTAACTGAGTAGATGGGCACAGCAACATGGGGTGCACATCTGCCCACGCACAGCAAGGCACGCACCTCTCAATGATGGCGCGCAGGGCGAGAGGATCCATCTCCTTCTTGGCCGAGTAAACGGGCACAGCGCCATCGCTCGCCCACATGGCTTCCGCACCGGGCCCTGCGTCCACCTTCACTATCTGGCTGTTCTTGTCCAGCTCAAAGGCTCCATCTCGTTGCACACAGAGCACCTAGGGAGGGAGAAGCGAGCGGGGGCCTGGGGCTATTGAGGTGCGTCAGGAATCAAGCCTGGCTCTGCGTCCACCTTTACATCTGGCTGTTCTTGTCCAGCTCTATGGCCCCATCACGCTGAATGCAGAGCACCTAGAGGGAGGGGATACGGGGGAAGTCAGGGAAGGCCTGCCTCTGAGTTGACGCAGAGAAGGTCTGCTTCACAGAGGCATATTCTACATCTATGTCGCTGTTCCTGCCCAGCTCTATGACCCCATCTCGTTGAGCACGGTGCACCTAGGAGGTGGAGAGACGAGGGGACGGAAAGGAGAGGAGAGGTGAGTGGTAAAGGGAAGCAAGGAAGGGGGGATAAGGGAGGAGAGGAGAGGGGAGGAGAGGGGGAACGGGCGAAGAGTGGGCATGGGGAATATAAGCAAGAGGGGGAGCAGCTTCTCAACAAATGCTTAACCAGCTTCTTGATTGCGTCATGCCCACCCACTGCCCGCCGCCCGCCGCCCGCCGCCCACCGCCCACCACCCACCTGACCAGCGACGGAGACGAGAGCACCCTTTGTGAAGGCCTTGGAGAGAGCATAGGAACCCCATTGGCCCGGGCGAAACTGCTTGGCTGACACCACAAACCCCTTACTGCCACCGCTGCTGCCGCTGCCACCGCTGCTGCTGCTGCTGCTGCTCAATCTGCTGCGGGTGGGTGTGGTGGTGGCTGGAGTTTCGGCATTGTTGGGAAGGTTGCAGCGGATCCTGATGTCGGCTATAGCGACGGAGGCACCGCGGTACACACTGCAGAGGGACATAGAGGCGAGGGGGACAGAGAAAGAGACACTAGATGACACACATGACACACTAATTACACACTCATTCAACCACTGCCAGCCTCCCACTCACCCACCAGCACCCGCCAGCACCCTTCAGCACCCTTCAGCACCCCCAAGCACCCCCAAGCACCCCCAAGCACCCCCAAGCACCCCCAAGCACCCCCAACCACCCGCCAGCACCAGCCAGCACCGGCCAGCACCCGCCAGCACCAGACTCTGTCACCACGCCAACAGCAGCCCCTGCCCATCCCTCATTTCACCCTCCTTGCTCTTCGACCGATCCAGGTACGTGTGCAGGTAGCGATTCAGCAGGGGCCTCACGTGCAAGCAGTGCCATGCAACAAGCAAACCACACACTCACTCAATCCCTGCCCAACCAACCACTCACGTGATGCTCTCCACCACGCCAACAGCAGCCACGTGCTTGTCTCTCATCACATCCTCCTTGCTGCGCGACAGGTCCAGGTAAGTGTGTGGGTAGTGCTCCAGCAGGTGCCAGTAGTGCCATACATACAACACGTTGACAGCAACAGATTCACAGTAACATACCCAAACAGCCACTCACTTGACACTTTCAACCACGCCAACAGCAGCCACCTGCATGTCTCTTATCACATCCTCCTTGCTCCGCGACAGGTCCAGGTAAGTGTGCGGGTAGTGCTCCAGCAGGTGGCGCACCGTCCACAGCCCACCCTCCTGCAGCTTCCTCGCCTGCCCGTGAGTCAGCACGCCCCCGCTGCGCTTCGCCAGGCCCAGCAACGGCGTCTCCAGCCACCCCACCTGCTCCGCTGCATCACCTGCACGCGAGTCCAGATACGTGTCTGCAGCACCACCAGCCACGGTGCCTAGTACTCTGGCTTCTGTACACCGATTTGCCCCCATTTCCCCGACAGCAGCTAAGTCACCCCCCATTTCAGTGCTTACATCCGCTGCCTTCCTCCTCCCCCTCGCTCCTCGCGCCCTGCTGCTACCCCCAGTCTCCATCGCCCCACTGACAATACCTGCGCTCTCATCCGCTCCCCCCACATCTCGGCCTGCCTCCCCCATCCACCCACCAGTCTCATTCACCTCACCCTTGCCCTCCTGCATCCACTCACTGGCTTCAATCGCTTCCTCATTCGCCTCAAGAGTCTTCTTTCTCCTTCCCCTCCTGGACGCCCCTCTGCCTGTTGCGCTGCTCTCAGCCCGTGCACTGCTGTCAGCCTCCCACAGTGCCATGACTGGCATTTCAACATCGCTCTCCTCTTCTACCTCTTCCACCTCCTCCTCTCCCATTGCTCTCACCCATTCCACTCCCTCCTCCTCATCCTCTTCATCTTCCTCCTCCTCCCCCTCCTCTTTACTTTCTACATCCCCTTCTTCCTCCTCTTCCTCCTCATCCTCCCCTCCCTCTACCCAATCATCATCCTCCACGTCAACCGCCCCAAGCTCCCTCACACCTCTCACCCCTCCACCTTCACCTCCCATCTTCCCCCCCTCTGCTTCCCCCACCAGATCCACAGCTCCCGTGCCTGCTTCCCGAGCCTCACCCAGGCTCGGCAGCTTCAGCTCCGGCCGGTTCTCAAAGCAGACCGAGCCAAGATAGGGCTGACGCCACCGAGCCAGCAGGGCAGCCACGGCAGGATGCGGGGAAGCATCAGCTTCGGAAAGACCAGTATAGAGTTCGAGGGATTCTGTGCTCACTGCCTCTATCCCTTGGCCCAACTCTTGACTCCCTACCCTATCGCCTAAAAAAAACCGCTCGACCCGTTGCACTGACACTTGCCCCACATCCTGCCTAACAACGGTAACTCGAGCTGCTTCTTGCCGAACGGTTGTGGCTCGATTCCAAGACCAAGGGCTGTGGCTGTCAGAGGGCCAGGAGGGAGGGGGTGGTGCTTGTGGGTCGGACTCGGGAAGACTGGGAGGGGTAGAGGGGGAGGGGGGAGGAGCAGCAGAGGGAGGAGGGGCAGTGGAGGGAGGAGGTGTGGACGGAGGGACTGAGAGGCGAGAGGACGCAGCAGCAGCAGCGGAGGTAGAGGTGGTGGTGGTGGCGGGTGCGGCGGAGGTTTGTGTGGCGGCGCGGGCAAGAGCGGCAGCTGCTCGCATGGCACGTTGCTGCCTCTCCGAACGCATCGCAGCGAAAGAAGCATGTGGGGCAGAAGGAGCAGAAGGAGCAGAAGGAGCAGAAGGAGAGCCGAGAGTAGGAGCAGACAGAGCAGTTTGGGAAGAGGTGGCAGAGTGGGAACGCTGAGAGGAATGCGGCTGCTCCGCACCAGAGCCAAACCGCTGCTGAGTAGAGCCAAACTGTTGCTGGACGGTTGAATGTGTGTCACCTGCTCCTACCCCCTCTCCTCCCCTAGAACCCTTCCAAACCTCAACCCCTGTCTCCCACTGCGTGTTTCCCCCCCACACCTCCCCTCTATGCCGCACTGCCTCTGCTGCCTCTGCCGCCTCTGCTGCCTCTGCTGCCTCTGCTGCCTCTGCTGCCTCTGCTGCCTCTGCTGCCTCTGCTGCCTCTGCTTGCCTGTGCCATGTGCCTCCAGGCGCTGCTGCTGCTGCTTTTGCAGTTCTTGCAACTCCTACAGGTGGTGGCGGTACTGCTTGTGGTGCTGCTTGTGGCGGTGCTGCTTGTGCTGCTTCAGCTGCTGCTGGGCCTGCTGCTAGCGGTGCTATGGCTTGGCTGGGAGAAGTCTGTGAGGGGGGCTGCCATGAGGTGCTGCCATCAGCAACAGCATCAGCACGTGCTCCATCCTCTGCCAGCCTCCCCACCCTCGCCTCGTTCTCCCATCCCACCGTCTCCTCCTTCTCCAATCCCAACCTCTCCTCGCTTGCACCCTCCAGTGCCTCGTCTCTTCTGTGCCCCATGCTCTCCTCGCCTTCACATCCAACAGCCTCCACAACGGCTGCATGGTGCAGCAGCACGTGATTTTGAGTCGAATCAAAGGTCAGCTCGTCTCTTCCTTGCCCCATGCTCTCCTCGCTCTCCCAACCCATCGCCTCCACAGCAGCAGCATGGTGCAGCAGCAGATGCTGGGTATCTGAGAACCCAAGAGCTTGGGAGAGCTGGGAGGGAGGGATTGCACAAAGGCAGGACAGGGTGAATGGAAGGGGATCTTGGAGCAGCTTCAATCGTGAGCTCCGTTACCAAGACGCAACCAGGTTTTCTTTCTCTTAGGACGTGACTTTTCAGTCGACCCAAAAGTCACCAGGTTTTCTTCTCTTTTTATTTAACAAAATTGATGCAATCGGTTCAATCAACATGCTCTTGAAAATAGCTGATGAAGCTTAATGTATGTATCCATGCACCTAGTGTTGTTAAATATATATCTATACAACATGCATGCCTAGATTAGGAGGTGTAGTCATTATAAATATTGGGGGGTTGTTGGTTGGGTTGACCAACCCAACATTTGGGTTGGTCAAGATTGGATTTGGTCCTAGACATTTGGTTGGCACTATTCCAACCAAATGGTCCTTGGTCCTCGGAACCAACCAATCACCAAGCACCACACTTTGTGGTTGCTTGCCTTCCAAGCAATCTCTTTCATTGGTCCACATTGTGGCCAATCAGAGAGCACCACACTTTGTGGTTGCTTGCCCTACAAGCAATCTCTCCCATTGGTCCACTCTATGGCCAATAGGAGAGCTTCCCTTCCAACTCTTCCTTGCTCCTTGTTTTGTACAAAAGAGCCTCTTGGCTCCCTACTCAATCAATCTTTTCTCTTCCAAGCTATTTCCTTCATGGGATTCAGAGCCACAATGGCTCACGCCACCTCTAGTCGATCCTAACTAGCACGGCCCTATGCCGTCCCTCCTCGCCATCGAAGCCTAGCCTTTCTTAGGCTATTTCGCGCGCCGTCCGTGCGCCCTCTCCCGACGCGATCTCCCATCGCGCACACTCTCTCTCCCGTCGCGCACCTCCTATCGCGCCCGCTCTCCCTTCCGTTGCGCACCTCCCCTCGCGTCTTTCGACGCCCTTTTCCTCCTCGCGCGGTTCGTCGTCGCGTCCTCCCGTCGTGCGCCCTCTGCCACCGCGCGCACCCGTTCGTCGCGCTCTCGCACCACCCGCCTGTTCGTCGCGGCACTCGCGTGCACCCGCCGACGAATCCGTTCATCGCGAACGTGCTCGCCGCCGCAGCCGTCGCCGATTTCGTCGCCGTCGTGTGCGGCTGTCCGTCGTCGCTTCCGCCGACCGCGCGCGGCCGTCCGTCGCCGCATCCCTCCTTGGAGCGCGTCGGCGACTTAAGAGCTGCGCTCCGCGCACCTATCCTTCTCCTCCTCCTTTCCTTTTCCTCCTCCTTTCCCTTTCCCTTTCCTCCTCCTTTCCCTTTCCTCCTTTCCCTTTCCTCCTCCTTTCCCTTTCCTCCTCCTTTCCCTTTCCTCCTCCTTTCCCTTTCCTCCTCCTTTCCCTTTCCTCCTCCTTTCCCTTTCCTCCTCCTTTCCCTTTCCTCCTCCTTTCCCTTTCCTCCTCCTTTCCCTTTCCTCCTCCTTTCCCTTTCCTCCTCCTTTCCCTTTCCTCCTCCTTTCCCTTTCCTCCTCCTTTCCCTTTCCTCCTCCTTTCCCTTTCCTCCTCCTTTCCCTTTCCTCCTCCTTTCCCTTTCCTCCTCCTTTCCCTTTCCTCCTCCTTTCCCTTTCCTCCTCCTTTCCCTTTCCTCCTCCTTTCCCTTCCCCCCTCCTCCTTCTTCCCTCCTCCTTTCCCTTTCCTCCTCCTTTCCCTTTCCTCCTCCTTTCCCTTTCCTCCTCCTTTCCCCCTCCTCCTCCTTTCCCTTTCCTCCTCCTTTCCCTTTCCTCCTCCTTTCCCTTTCCTCCTCCTTTCCCTTTCCTCCTCCTTTCCCTTTCCTCCTCCTTTCCTTTTCCTCCTCCTTTCCTTTTCCTCCTCCTTTCCTTCTCTTCCTCCTTTCCTTTTTCCTCCTCCTTTCCTTCTCCTCCTCCCCCCCCCCCCCCCCCCCTTCCTTCCCCTCCTCCTCCTCAATGGCGTCCGATTCCTCGGTGGACCTTACCTTCGTCGACGCTCTTGAGCTGCTGCCCGACAACACCGCGGTCAATTGGCATTCCTATGCCCAAACCGTCACGGTGCTTCTCTCCTCGGTGACGGTCAACGGCTACAACCTGAAAGCCGTTGTCCATCTCGAGGAGCGCGGTCTTCAGCCTGCCCAGCCGACTGCTCCCGCGGGCCCTCCACCTCCTCCTCCTGGCGATGCTCCCGTCAGCCCTGGCGATCCTCCAACCTTCGCCCCTGACGTCAACGACCCTCAGAGCTCCGAGACCGCCATTCGCACCTACCGTGCCGGCCTCACCGACCACGTCCGCCAGCAGCTGCTCTTCGAGGCTTCCCGCGCCGAGCATGACGCCGCCACTACCGCCTACAACACGTATCAGGCGGAGCTCGCGGAGTACGTCAGGCGCGAGCGCGCATACATCACCGACCTCGCCGCCTGGCGTGTCGCTGACCGGCGCGCGCTCACCGTCCTCCTCGCCACCATTCCTCCCACCCTCAAGTGCGAGCTTGCTCCCACTTCTTCCTCCCACCTCTGGCGCCTCCTCACCGATCTCTATGATCGGCAGGACGTTGCCACCCTCTACTCCCTCATCAAGGAGTTCCAGAGCCTCACCATGGACTCTACCACCGGCGCAGCTGCCTTCACGCATCGCGTCCTCGACCTTGCTCGGCGCCTGGCGGCTCTTGACGTGCCGTACCCGGACCCAGTGCTCTGCTGCCACCTCCTTGAAGGCTTGACTCCTGCCTTCGACACCCATAAGATCGCCTACATGCAGCTGATCGACAAGCGCATCACTCCAGCTGAAGTCGCCCAGTGGATTATCACCACCGAAGCCGACCTCTTGCGCCATTCCTCCTCAACTGCCGCTATTGCTCAGCAGCGCAACACCAGGGGAGGGCGCGGGGGTGGGCGTGGCGCTGGTCGTGGTGGTGGTGCGGGTCGTGGTGGCAACGGCGCAGGACGTGGTGCAGCAGCCGCCTTTCCTCCTTGTCAGTATCTCCCTCGCTATGGCCCCACGCGGGGTCAGCGATGCGGCCAGACCACTCATGCCACTGACTCTTGCTTCAAAGCACTCAGTGATGAGTGGTTTGCCCGCGGCAACACCGGCACCCCCCCCCGCTGGTCCTCCCTCTCTCCTCGCCCCACTCCTCAAGAGGTTCGTACCTCCCCTCTTTTCCAGCCCGTCTCCTCCCCCTTGGCCCACCAGGCCGTCTCTCAGCAACAGCAGCAGCAGCAGACTCCGCAGCAGATCCTGCCGCAGCCGTTTCAGCAGCAGCAGCAGCAGCAGTTCCAGCAGCAGCAGCAGCAGGGGCAGCAGCACCTCTTCTCCCAGTTGCAGCAGCAGCTTGACCTCCAGTCGCAGCTCCCCCTTGCACCTCCTCCTATGGCTCCCCCCCAGCAGCCCTACCCCGTTTGGACCGCCGGCACTGCCGCTTCCGCAGCTCACCTCTCGGGCGCGTCTCCCGCGCTCTCAGCCACAGGCAGTGTGACTCCTTTCCCCTCCTTTGGTTTTGTTGGCATGGTTAGTCAGGCTGGAACCCCCGCCCCTTCTATGTATTCGGCTGCTATTAATGAGAATGTGATTCAGTACTCCGTCCCACCTCCTCCCCCACATCCTCCCCCCTCCACCACGCTAGACTTTGTCCTTGACAGTGGAGCCACCGAGTCCGTCCTTCGTGATGCTGGTACCCTTCACCCCCTCCCAGCCCCCACCTCCCTCCTTGGTGCCGATTCCAGCTTCTCTATTCCCTGTCGCCACACCTCTACCCTCCCCTGTCCCCTCTTCCCCTCAGGTACTGTCACTGGTTTACACATCCCCTCCCTCCGTACTAACCTCCTCTCCCAGCGATCCCTTCAGCAGGCTGGTATCACCACCGTCTTCCCAGGTCGCGCTAATCACTGCCTCCTATACCATCCCACAGGTCGCCTCCTCTCCCGTATTCCCTTTTGTCCTCTCTCCCGCCTATATACCCTTCGAGTTCCTCGTCTTCCCTCTGCCCAGGCAGTCTCCCGCTCCCTCCCCCCACCTCACATCCCTCCCCCTCCTCTCCCTCCTTCTAACCCAACCATTCCCCCCTTCCCCCCTGACCCAACCTGCTCCTGTCGACCCCTCTCCCATCCCACCGTCCTCCTCCACCACAGGCTTGGTCACCCCAACTTTGCCACCCTCCGCTCGACCGTCTCCTCAGGTCTCCTTCGAGGTCTTCCCCTCACCCTCCCTCCCCTCCCTCCCTCCCTTGCCCCTCCCTGCTCCGTCTGTGTCCAGAGCAAGCTCAAGCAGCTGCCGCATCGGAGCTCCCCCTCCGCTGCTGCTCAGCCGCTTGATCTTGTTCACATGGACCTCTGGGGCCCCAAACCCTCCCCTTCCTGCCAGGGCCATCGCTACATGCTTGTTCTGGTCGATGATCACAGCCGATATTCGTCCGTCTCCCTTCTTCGCTCGAAGGGTGACGCTCCGGCTGCGATCATCGCCTGGCTCAAGCAGGCGAGCACCCACTTTGGCCGCCCTGTGCGCCGCCTTCACTCTGATGGCGGTGGCGAATTCCTTAATCGACAGGTAGCCTCCTACTGTGAGCTTCATGGCATTCGCCAGACTCACACCCTCCCCCACTCCCCCCAACAGAATGGTGTGGCCGAGAGCCGTGTTCGGGAGATCACCAAGATTGCTCGGTGTCTCCTCGTCCATGCCTCTTGCCCCCCTTCTCTCTGGGGCTATGCCATCCTTCACGCCACCCTCCTTACTAACCTATACCCCCACCCTATTCTTCCCTCCACCACTCCCACCGAGCTCTGGACGTCGGCCAAGCCTGACGTCGCCTCCCTCCGTGTGTGGGGCTCCAGGGCGTATGTCCTCATTCACCCTTCGGACCGCCCCCGCACCATGGGAAAGCTCGCCTCCCGTACCCTCCCCTGCATCTTCCTTGGTCATAATCCCTCCTCCCCGGACTACCTCTTCCTTCACCCCCCCTCAGGTCGTTTCCTCCGCAGTCGGGATGTAGTCTTTGATGAGTCCACACCCTACTATTCCACTCCTCCCCCCACTGACCCTCTCGCCCCTGCTCCCAGGCCCCTCACGTGGTCCGACACTATCCCACCCCCTCTTCTCCCTCCCCCTCCCATCCTCCCCCCCGCTCCACCTCCTCCATTCCCCGCTGCCTCGGTCCCTAGTGCTCCCCCCTCCTCTGGTGACATATTTGACCCTGACCCTTTTTTCCCCCCACCTCCCCGTCCCACTCCTCCCCCTCCGCTCCCTCCCATCCTCCCCCCTCCCCTCCTCCCTCCTCTCCCCCGCAACCCCCTCCCCCCCTGCGTCCCTCCCGCTCCATCCTCACCCGGTATCCCCACACCAGGTCGCGTGACGCAGTCCTAGGTGCCCCGCCTCCTGTTATCCTCTCTTCCTCTACCTTGCCTCCTCTCTCCCCTCTCATGGACCTCCTTTTACAGACACTCTTACAACAAAACACTAGCCCAACCCTGCGGTCGAGCTCCAGTACAGCAGTCCCAACAGCAGCAGCAACAGCTGCAGCAGCAGTTCCACCCACCGCAGCAGCACCAGCAGCAGCACCAGCAGCAGCACCAGTAGCAGCAGCAGCAGCCGTCGCTCCTTCCTCGCCTTCACCCGCAGCAGCAGCAGCGGCGGCAGCAGATGCAGCAGTAGCAGCCGCCTCAGCAGCAGCAGCAGCAGATGCATCCTCATAAATAGCAGCCGCAGCAGCTGCAGTCCTCCCATTCATTTTCCACTCCTTCCTCCTCGAGGACTCCCACGAGGAGTTCCTCAACCTCCACCTGCATGATCCAGCCCTCCTACCCATCTCCCCTGACCTCAGCGGCACACCAGTCTTCGCCTTCTCCTCCGCCCCCACCATCTTCGTCCCCGCCACGTACGAGGAGGCCATGGCGTGCCCTGACGCTCACCTCTGGCTCGCGGCCATCCTCAAGGAGTTGGAGGCGTTTATTGCCAACTCCTCCTTTGTGGATGTGCCCCGCCCTCCCTCTACCACGAACGTGGTCAAAGGGAAGTGGGTGTTTCGGGTGAAGCAGCTTCCTGGCGAGCCGCCGGTCTACAAGGCCCGCTACGTCGCCAAGGGCTTCACCCAGCGCTACGCTGTCGACTTCTTCGACACCTTCTCTCCCACCGCCAAGCCCGCTACCATTCGCGCAGTCCTCGACCTCGCAGCTCGCCTCAACATGGAGATTTACTCCATGGACGTCTCCAACGCATTCCTCCAAGGGGTCTTGCGCGAGCTCATTTACATGGAGCGTCCTGCAGGCTTCCACCTCCCCTTTCCTTCCGACTCTGTCTGGCAGCTGCGTCGACCAGTCTATGGGCTCAAGCAGGCACCAAGGGAGTGGCATGCCAAGCTTGCTGCCACCCTCGCCGAGCTTGGCTTCAGCACCTCCCGCGCTGACCCCAGCCTCTTCCTCCGCACCTCCCCCTCCCCCTTCTACATCCTCGTCTATGTCGACGATATGATCCTCATCACTGCCGACTCCGCCGAGCTCGAGCGCGTCAAGCGTGAGCTTGGCGGCCGGCTCAAGTGTAAGGATCTAGGGGAGCTGCAGCACTATCTCGGTATGGAGATTACCCGCGACCGTGCTGCTCGCACCATCTCCCTCTCCAGGGCCACTACCTGCAGCAGGTCCTGGAGCGGTTCGACATGGCTCGAGGCACCACTCAGGTCACCCCTCTTCCTGTTGGGCACCACCTCACTCCCCTCACCTCCCCCTCCTCCTCCTCCCACCCCTACGCTGAGCTCATCGGCTCTCTCATGTATGCCATGGTCTCCACCCGCCCTGACCTGGCATACCCCATCAGCGTTTTGGCCCGCTTCGTTGGTACCGGCAAGCATGATGCCGCCCATTGGCAAGCGGCAAAGCGTGTCCTCCGCTACCTTCGGGGAACTAAGGACTACGTCCTTACCCTTGGCGGCCCCTCCCCTCCCCTCCTCTCTGGCTACTCTGATTCCTCCTGGGCTGACTCTAGGCCTGACCGCCGCTCCTCTCAGGGCTATGGCTTCTCTCTTGGCAGTGGCCTCATCAGCTGGCGCTCCACCCGCTCCTCCTCCATTGCCCTCTCCTCTTGCGAAGCGGAGCTGTATGCCGCTACCATGGCTGCGCAGGAGGCCCGCTGGCTCTCCTTCCTTCTTGAGGAGCTTGGTGCCCCTCAGCGCTGTCCCACCATGTGGTGCGACAACGCCAGCACCATCCACCTCACGAAGGATGCCGTGTTCCACGGGCGCTCCAAGCACATTGAGCTTCGCCACTACTTCATTCGCGAGCTTGTGCAAGGTGGCCACCTCCAACTGGGCAAGATTGACTCTGCTGCCAATCTTGCCGACATCTTCACCAAAGCCCTCCCCCACGCCGCCCACTCCTCCCTCCTTCGCCTTCTTGGACTCGCTCCCCCTGTTCCCTCGTCCACCTCTTGATTCAAGCCCTCTAGTCTTATGCATGTTGGGGGGTTGTGTTGTTAAATATATATCTATACAACATGCATGCCTAGATTAGGAGGTGTAGTCATTATAAATATTGGGGGGTTATTGGTTGGGTTGACCAACCCAACATTTGGGTTGGTCAAGATTGGATTTGGTCCTAGACATTTGGTTGGCACTATTCCAACCAAATGGTCCTTGGTCTTCGGAACCAACCAATCACCAAGCACCACACTTTGTGGTTGCTTGCCTTCCAAGCAATCTCTTTCATTGGTCCACATTGTGGCCAATCAGAGAGCACCACACTTTGTGGTTGCTTGCCCTACAAGCAACCTCTCCCATTGGTCCACTCTATGGCCAATAGGAGAGCTTCCCTTCCAACTCTTCCTTGCTCCTTGTTTTGTACAAAAGAGCCTCTTGGCTCCCTACTCAATCAATCTTTTCTCTTCCAAGCTATTTCCTTCACCTAGTCCTGCTCCCTGATTTTGCACGGCGTCTGTGAAGCTAGTGGCTACTGCAGAACGGAGTCTCAAAGCTCATCCACAAACCCACGGGCCATCGATCGAAACACGAGCACTCTCAAACTTTGAATGACTAGTTGATTTGTGGAAACAGGCCGTAGATTACTCCTCCCCAACCCCTTTTTACAAACATCTCATCCGTTCCAGTCGCTGAGTGCATGTGGGAGGCATCAACATCGTGATTCATCCCTGCCCATCCCGGTTTTTCAGAGATTTCTCACCCGCTCCAGGCGTTGGGTGCGCGTGGGAGGCATCAGTAGGTCGTAGTTCACCCCTGCCCATCCCACTGCTTGCTGCACTGCCAGCGGGGCACTCAGCTGCTGACGTGTCATCCTCACACGCACCGACTCCAGATACTGGTGAAAGCTGATTGGTTGAAAGGAAAAGGAGCAAATAGGTTGGACGGAAGGGAAAAAAGGAGGGCAGGTAATCCATCAGTTGCAAATCAAGCGAAGGGATGTGAAATCTAGCATGATTTTAACTTGAGTTCCTTTTCTTACAAAGCCTTACCTACTGGTGGAGCCTTGAGCGTTTGAGAATCCTGAAGCCACTTCAAACGCCACAGCTGCAACGAGCTCACTCACATCCAACACTGCTGCCCCCCCCTCCCCTTGCTGCTGCGGCGCTTGCCAGGCCTGCTGCTCCCCCTGCTGCTGCTGCTCCTGCTGGCGCTCCTGGCCTGCTTCCACTTCGGTATCCGCGCCTCTTTCGCTGCCCATCACGCCACGCAGGCTGGAACCAGCAAGGGGGAGAGAAAGGTCTTTCCTGGCTTCAACAGACTCCCCTTCCCCCTTGCTGCCTGCACCCTCCTCAGTGCCCTGCAGATCCATCAGTGCTTCCTCAACCATACGTGATTTTTCAGAAGACTCAAAACCCTCCTTGGTGTCCTCCAGGTCCAGCATCGCTTCCTCAACAGCTGCTTGGTGCTCCTCCCATGCTCTGCGCTCCACTGCCACAAGCGCTTCCTCTTGCCAACCAATCAGCTCCACTTCTCGGCTGGCCTCCACCTCGCTACTGCTGTTGCTCTCTCTACTGAGGTCTCCTACAGTCGCCACTTCACCTGTCACTTCTGTACTCAAGTCCCTTACAGTCACCTTTTCAACAGTCACTTCGGCTGTAGCTTGTTCTTCCTTTTTGGCCGCTCTACCTTTACCCCTAGCCCAGGTCACAGTGGACATCCGCCTGGCAGGGGTCAGCACCAGCTGTCTCCCCCGCATGGTGCAAGCAAGCACAGGAGCAGCCCACACAAGGGACGGCTGAGCACCTATGTTAGTTTGGGCACCTGCAGCGATTGGTATAATAGCCGAGATGGGTCTAAGGCCTGGTGCCCTTTCCACAGCGCCCCTTCCCTTTGTAACGGCCTGCTTGGCTGGCTCCGGATTCAGTGGCACGACTTTCGCCCCCAGCAGTGAATTCTCCAAGAGTACACGGGAGCGTGCATGCTGGGTCAACCGCCGGCCCAGAACGGGAAGCATAGGACTAAACCCCGCAATTCTGGCAGAGAACGAGTCCCTGTGGCTATACCAGCCTGGATAGGGCAGGGTGGTTCTTGATAAGGAGTTGCATGCGGTTGTTGTGGCGCAAGTGACAGGGCGGAGGGAGAGCGTGGAGGAACGGGCTTGAGATATGACTCGAATCGGGGCCGACTTGCCAACTGATGGTGACGCTGCCGAGGCCATTCTGGACCAACGGCCCATGCAGAGGTAAGAATACCCGGCACGAGAAGATGGAGTCAGCGTGCAACGAGAAACGGAAGCAGCAGCGGCACCGAGTGCAGACGAGAAAGATGTGGCGACAGAGGAAGTACCACTGCCAGCAGCTTTGTCACCATTTGCTCTCAAATTCAACAACGCCCTGACACCAGACCCTCGGCAGAAAAGGACTTCCCTGAGACAGAACTGTAGCTGCATGTGCACCCCGTAGGCCTCACCCCGTAGGCCTCACCCCGTAGGCCTCACCCCGTAGGCCTCACCCCGTAGGCCTCACCCCGTAGGCCTCACCCCGTAGGCCTCACCCCGTAGGCCTCACCCCGTAGGCCTCACCCCGTAGGCCTCACCCCGTATGCCTCACCCCGTAGGCCTCACCCTGTGAGCCTTGCCTTCCAGGCCTACACGCTGTGATACCAACACAGCTTGCCTCAGCTTCCAAGCCTGGTCAACCTTGCTGCCTGGTGGATCTGAGAGACCTGGTATACCCCTGGTAGACCAATGGGAGTAGGTGCGGGTGTATGGCACACTATTGCTGGCTGCTAGGGTTCGGTTGTGGCTTGGGAGTTCCTTGAGAAATGTGTACGGCTCTGTTGGCTCGGACCTGCAGAAATGTGAAAAGGGACAGGAGGAAGTTTACAGGAGATGAAAGGGTAGAAATAGAAAAAGGGGGCATGTGGACGAAGATGAAGGGGGACAAAGGATTGCGAAACGCGAAAGGGCAGTGCACTTGATTGCTGGTAACACTGTTGCTATAAAGCCTTTTGCTGTCTAAAGCCAATCACTGGTTCAATCCAGCCTCTAAACAAGTTTACGTGTAGCCTCTAAGTGTTGTTAGAAGCTGTACCTTACAGAATAACCCATACCCACATACCCTGGTTTGGAGCGGATGCACTCAAAGAACAGCTGGAGAGGCTTCTTCAAGTTGGTGCTCCAGTTGCCCTCGAACAGCCCCTGAGGAGGGTTAGTCATGAAGAGAGGAGACGGGAATGAGGGAGGAGCCCCAGTAGCGAGACGGGAAAATGCCAATAACGCATCCGAAAGGTAAAGTGAATGACGCATTCGTGTATTTTGGGCTGAATCAGAATACACATTTGAAAAGCAGGGAGAAAGGCGTGCCTGAATGACCAGATTTCATAGGCTCAAAAACCTGGAGAAGGGCATGCCTGAATGACGTCTTCCAGGCGATCGTTGCAGCGGTGGGGACCCACCCCGCCAGAATGAGTGGGATCAGGTGAACGGCTGCGATCTGACGGCTGGCTAGAATCTGACGGCTCTGACGGCATAGCGGCTGAACCACGAGGTGCGAACCCTTGAGAGATCTCTAAGGTGCAGGCAGACGAGTAGAAAGAACTACCCTGGGAGTCTCACGTCGGAAGCAATGGAATGGGATCCTCAAGAGCAGGTTCGCGGGAAAAGAACGCTGCACTGCTTAATAGCCGTGACGGCAAATAGATTCTGTTTAACTGGTGAGTGAGGAAAAGTAGGCCGTGAACTACGACGCTGAGGGGAATGAACTGTAATATTTCACAAGGTCGTAATGCTGGTCAGGGACGTTACTGCAGCATAATTTGAGGAACCGACGAAGAGTGAGGACTGCGTACACCCCCAGCACCAGAGTACGCCGTGCTGTCTCCGAATGGCTGCTCTCGGCGTCAGGAGGAAGACATTTTCAAGGTTCAGGCATAACTTCCTCAGCTAGATCAGAGTGTTCGGTAAAGAGCTGCTGCCATACAAGGCGAGTATAAAAATCAGGCATACTACCTTACCATCTATGAGCGAAATAGAAATGGAAATGGAAATAGGAAAAGGGTCATGATCCGTTTGTTTTCAAAACACTGACATCATGAGTTAATTCATGAATTTTGGATGCATTATGTTTAATCAATTCACATGTATTTAATTTGTAGCTAAGAAGTCAACCACGGTATAAATTCCATATGTTAAAAGGGTATTTACCGTGAGAATTGTGATCATTTACCATGATTCAAGCTAAGATTGTGGATATAAGATTGTAAGTCCAGCCAGGCATTATAAGTAAGCGTTGGATAATAACTGTATGGGGTCAATACGACCTGGATGGACGATTCCACGAAACCAAGCTGCGTGACCGTTGTACATGGTGCAGCGCATGTTGATCTGTTGCTTCCGCATGTTACAGCCGTGCGATCTACCCGTGTACGATTATTGACGGATAGATCCGTCCGTTATCGTGATGGGATGATGATGTGAACAGCCAACCACCTTGCTTCTCCTCCACGCGTTCCGCCGCGGCTACATGCCCAATGGCCATGGTGGGCAGGTTGTTGGAGATGCAAACGAGTTCGTCTGTCTGGCTCGACGGGACAAGCACGAGTTCACTTTACAACAACAAGCGGAGCTGACAATGACGATGACGGCTCAAGCCGAACAACACAACCCGAGTGTGCGAAGGACAAGTCCCAAGATATGATCATCATAGTTTGCGGTCTAGATCGTGCCACATTCGTCGGAAGCCATAGCTCAGGATATCTTCCACGAATCCGCTCCGATTATAGCCACAGCCATATTTCCTCCGCTTTTCGCAGTTCCCATCCACGTCGCTTAGTATATCCGGCCATGTGCAATGCGCTACACGGCCCGAAACACTGACGATCTATTCGAATTGCTTCCGATCGCCGCATATCGCGGCTCCAATTAACATGAAAGAGGATGGCCAATCAGAATCCGAAGAAGGCGAATTCGTCGCTCCGGTCGACCCGAATCTCGCTAACTCGGCTAGCTCGTTGCCACGTGGCAGCGATCCGGACGAACCTGCCGTGTCACACACGGAAGCGCAGCGGGATCCGATCACTGAACGATCCGCGTTAAGAGCTGGATCAGTTTATGAGACTCAGAAACCTCCTGCTCCTAGTAGAGGCGCGGAGAACCAGGAAAGGCCAGATCAGGCAGACAGAACGAGAGACGCGGGATCGAAACCAGGCAGAGACAAAAAATGGGCAAGTGAGGATGGATCTGTGCCGGGCATTCCGGCGATTGGTCAGGAGGAGGACGACGAGGATGCGATGTTCAGCGAAGTTGCCAGGCTTTGGGCTGGACATACGTCTGGGCACGGAGCTGGGCATGCACCCGGGCATGCACCCGGGCTCGGATGTAACATACCGTCGAGCGGCTTGCCCCCCTCGTCCGGTCTCCCCGCCGGTCTGCTAGGCGATCCAGGCGCAGGGTGGTCGCACGGGTTCGGGTCGCACGTTCGTGGTTCGCACGGGCATGGATCGCACGGGCGTGGTTCGCACGGGCATGTGTCGCACAGCAACCACCACGGGAGACATGGGAGACAGATGGTCGACGCACTTGGGGGAGTGGCAGGGATCGGCGCGGCAAGCGGGTCCCCCGTGAAGCCTCGTGGGTGGACTATGGCTCCAGATGCTGCGGCTCCTGGGGGAGCTGCTCCTGAGGCTTCTGGTGATGCTCGTGCTGGTGCTGGTGCTGGTTATATTGACGATGATGCAGTCGACGGCTCAGGGTTTAAGAGATTCAAGCTCCACCATCCGCACCATCCCCGCCAGCGGCACCCGCATTCCGATCCGCACCCCCATCCCCATCCCCATCCCCATGCCAATCACCCGCATCACGCCCATCACCATCCCCATCACCACCGGAACCGGCACCACCATAAGGGCAAGGCGCATGAAGGCAGCAAGGCCGGAGTTAACAGTGCTTCTGCTACTGCCGCTGCGGGTGGCGCTGGTGCTGGCGGCAGTGGTAGCATGGCTAATGCTGCGGATGCGTCCGCGGGTGGGTCGGAGATTGGGGTTGCCGCGGAAGACAAGCGGAAGGAACGGTCGGGGGAGAAGGCGGGGGAGAAGGCGGGGGACAACAGGGCGGAGGCGGAGAGAGCAGCGGCGGAGGGGGCAGGAGGACGGGGGAAAGAGGCGGAGAGGGCGGGAGATGCGCGCGTTAGTGCGGAGAAGGGCCAGCTCTCAGCGCTGCTGGCGAGCGGAGGGTTCTGGGGAGGGGAGGAGGTGGAGGAGGAGGAAGAGGAGGCGGGGGAGGGTGAAGGGGCGAGAGGCGGTAGAAGTGCAGGAGGTGGGGGGGCGGCAGGTGATGCTACACAGAGGAATGGGAGAATGGGAGAGGGTGGGGGTGAGGAAGGGAGGGGGAGGGACGGAGGGGAAGGATGGGTGGGGAAGAGGAAAAGGCACGAGTGGGACGAGGACGGCGGGAATGGCGGGCGACCAGATGGGGGATTCCGGGGGCGCGGAGGGCAAGGCAGCGGAAGGGGCGGTAGGGAAGACTGGCATGCGAGGGGAAGAGGGGGAGGGGGAGGGGGCGGAGGGCACAGGCGGCGGATGGAAGCGGGGCCCTCCCGCATCTCCGTGCCCTGCAAGTTCTTCCTGGGCGGGCGCTGCAGCAAGGGCGCGTCCTGCCCGTTCCCGCACACGGGCGTCCCGCGCACCAAGAACGAGCCGTGCAAATTCCACGTCACCAACTCCTGCCTCAAGGGCGACGACTGCCCCTTCTCCCATGACTTGGCGCGCTTCCCCTGCAAGTACTTCCACCTGGGGACGGGGTGCCTGGATGGGGAGCGGTGTAGGTTCTCCCATGGCAGTGCGGAGGAGAGGGAGCTGGTGCGGCTGAGGGAGATTTGGCAGAGGGACAGGCCATGGGGTGGGTCGGGGGAGAGGCAGGGGTACAGAGAGGTGGAGAGAGGGAAGGAGGGGTTTAGAGAGGTGGAGAGAGGGAAGGCAGGCGGGGAGCCGGGTTTGGGAGACAGGTTGGGATGGGCAGGGGGTGAGAGTGGTGGGAGGGGGGAGAGTGGGGCGGGAGGAAGACGCATGGGTGGTGCGGTTGGCAGTGTGGGTCGCGGCGGTATTATTGGTGGTGCTGGTGGTGGTGGGAGAGGAGGGAGAGGTGCATGGGTGGTCAAGGTGGAAAGCTGGGCGGACAAGGGGGAATGGACAGGCGGGAGGGGGGGGATGGGCGGAAGGAAGGGGAAGGGGGCATGGGGGGTTATGTGCGGAAGGAAGGGGAGAACAGGAGCGGTGGTTACAATGGTAGTAGTAGATATGGTGGAGACGGTTCCAATGCAGGACCTGAGGGCAGTGGCATTCCTCCTCCTGCTCCTGCTGCTGCTGCTGATGCTGATGTTAGTGATGCGGCCGGTGCTGGTAATGATGGTGCGGATTATGATTCTGATGAGGAGGAGGGGAGCGGTGGTGTTCCCGACCCATATGCTGCTGGTGCTGAAGACCCATATGCTGCTGGTGCTGCAGACCCATATGCTGCTGGTGCTGCAGACCCATATGCTGCTGGTGCTGCAGACCCATATGCTGCTGGTGCTGAAGACCCATATGCTGCTGGTGCTGCAGACCCATATGCTGCTGGTGCTGCAGACCCATATGCTGCTGGTGCTGCAGACCTGGGGACGGACACATACCCATATGGTGCAGATGGGACGGCCGGCACAGGTGCAGCATCGGTGCATGACTTTTTGGCACGAGCAGCGGAGTTCTTTGCGGACGGGGAGACGGGGGGAAGGGGGGATGCGCCCCTGTATGGCAGCATGGAGTATATCGGCGAGGCGGGCGGGGGTGCGGGGCCTAGGTATGCACCTGACTATGAAACAGGGGGGGAAGGACCCGAATATGCACCGAAGTACGAAGCAGCGGGTGTGCCTGATTATGCAGGAGGAGGGGAGGGGCCTGGATACAGCCGCATGGGGTATGCAGGCATGGCAGGAGGGAATGGCACAGGGCACAATCCGTACACGTGGATGCACAATGAAGAGGAAGAGGAGGAAGCGGAGGAGGAGGAGGAGAGGGGAGAGCAGCAAGAGGGGAAGCAGCAGGGCGGGACAGTGAGGGCGAGGACTGGGGGGGTTGATGAGGAACCAGAAGGGAGAGCTTCACAGCTCAGCAACATGGCTGGACGTGTTGAGAAGCAGCCACCACCAACAGGGGGTGCTGCGCCAACAGGGGGTACAGCACCTTTGTCTTACAGCAAGAATGAGACAGTTAATAGCGAGGATGTGGATGGTGAGAGGGTGTCCAGGACGAGAGCGAATGTGGCTTCGCTCCTCAGCCAGGTGCTAGATAGCTAGAGAGGAATGATAGATAGCCTTAGGTAGATTGCTAGTAAAAGTATAGCCTTGATAGTAGTTCGTTACATAGGATAGTGCCCTAGAAGGAATGATGTGGCATACAATAGCTATTGGATTCGTTGCCTTCTATGGCTCATGAAATCATGCTGTGCTATGCATGACAACGTGAGGCAGCTTGAGCTGAAGTGGAGTGGGAGCCTAGCGTGGTTGCATGGCAGTGATGCTCACCGTCCAAGCCAAGCTCCTACCCACCTTCCCGAAGTGAGGAGGATATTCTTGCATGGCCGCAGGCCAAGCATGTCTCGAACGGCGTATGCAGTGTACCGTACTACGCTGTGCCCCCATTACCTCTTGCCTTTTGTTTGCAGTCAATGCAGGGCAGGAAGAAAAGTTTGGATTCTGGAAGCAGGGCCGTACATGACTTGGCCGTTCATGTTAGAAGCAGAGTCGCTAACCACTGTGCTAAAAGTGTCAACTTATACATGTTAGCTATGTAGAAGTTATAGGCTAGACTGAGGTATGCTTCTAGTGAGTACAACCAACTAGTATTTGTTCTAGGTTTCCATCTCTAGTTATCATTTCCTTCTCACGTTATCACGCGTAGGTTAGCATCCCCCACCTACCGCTTCCGCCTGTACCCTAGCTAGGCCTTGTCGCGCCTCCTAGCCACGTCGCGCCCCTCCTAGGCCCCGTCGCGCCACGCTAGCCCCGTCGCGCCACCCTAGCCCGGTCGCGCCACCCTAGCCCTGTCGCGCCCCTCCTGGGCCCCGTCGCGCCTCCTAGCCCCGTCGCGCCCCTCCTAGGCCCCGTCGCACCACCCTAGCCTCGTCGCGCCCCCTCGCCCTGTCGCGCCCCTCCTGGGCCCCGTCGCGCCCCGCCTGGCCTTGTCGCGCCCGCTCGGCCCCGTCGCGCCCGCTCGGCCCCGTCGCGCCCTGCCTGGCCTCGTCGCGCCCGCTCGGCCCCGTCCCGCCCTGCCTGGCTCCGTCGCGCCCGCCTGGCCCCGTCGCGCCCTGCTTAGCCCCATCGCGCCCTGCCTGGCTCCGTCGCGCCTGCCTGGCCCCGCCGCGCCTCCCTGGCCCTGCCGCGCCTTCCTGGCCCCAATGCGCCAGCCTGGCCCCGTCGCGCCCGCCTGGCCCCGCCGCGGCCTGCCTGGCCCCGTCGCGCCTGCCTAGCCCCTCCGCGCCTGCCTGGCACCGCCGCGCCTTGCCTGGCCCCGCCGCGCCTGCCTGGCCCCGCCGCGCCTGCCTGGCCCCGCCGCGCCTGCCTGGCCCCGCCGCACCTGCCTGGCCCCGCCGCGCCTGCCTGGCCCCGCCGCGCCTGCCTGGCCCCGCCGCGCCTGCCTGGCCCCGCCGCACCTGCCTGGCCTCGCCGCGCCTGCCTGGCCCCGCCGCGCCTGCCTGGCCCCGCCGAGCTTGCCTAGCCCCGCCAGCACCTGCCTAGCCCCACCGCACTTGCCTGGCCCCTTCGCCCCGGCTCGTCCTGCCGAGCCGCCTCGGGCTCCGTCTCCTCTGCTCGCTCGTGCTGAGGCGCTTCGCGGCCGCCGTGCTGGAGGGGGCTGCCGCTGTGTTCCTGCGTCGCTGTGTTCCTGTGGAGCTGTGCCGCTGACCCTGCACGATGGCGGACTTCGTGCTCCGACTGGACGCCGAGGGCCATGCGGTTGACTTCGCCGCCTGGCTCTCCGATCTCCGCCGCCACCTTACAGGTCAGCGCCAGGATGGCCACTCCTTGGTTGTCCATGTAGACGGCTTGCTCCCCCGCCCCCCCACACCTGCTCCCCTCCCTACTGATCCCTCCTCTGATGACCGTGAGACCTTCTCTACTGCTGCGCTTGCCTGTGCGGTCTGGGACTCCCGCGATGCAGTCGCTCAGGTTGCCATTAGCCACTCCCTCCCTGTCTCTGAGCGCTCGCGTGCTACTATTGAGACGGCCAAAGCTTAATTAGACGCTGTTATTGCTCGCTATTCCACACCCGCGTCTGCTTCTGCTGGTCGGCTGCTCTTCCCTATGCTTTTCCCAGACCTTGCAGCTTTCCCTACCGTCGCAGACTTTGCCACTCACCTGCGTACCCTAGAGACCCGCTATCGCACTGCCAGCACTGCTGCCCAGCTCACTGCGCTCCCCCCCCCTTTCTGCATGACGCTCTATTTTATCGCCATGCGCCTGCCAGACCGCCTCGCTAGTGCTCGCGATCACTTCCTTAGCCAGCACCCGGGTGACCTCACCCTCACTGCCTTTGTCGATACCCTCACAGAGATCGAGACTCGCCAGCGCACTATCGCTCAGTCGAGCGGTGCGCCGGCAGTTTCTATCTTTCACGGTTGTGCCCCCTCCCAGTGTACGTTCACTGATGTTTCGGCTGCGGTCGCCTCGGCGGCCCCTCTCACCGAGACGGCTGGTGCGGTCCACCCGCAGCAGCGCTCGCGCCGCGGTGGCCGTGGTCGCCAGGGAGGTAGGGGTGGTGGCGCTAGTGGTGGTGACGGTAGTCCGCCCGCGGGGACTACCACTAGTGGGCAGGAGCAGCAACCCCAGCCGCAGCAGGAGCAGCCCCAGCCGCAGCCGCCACCCCAGCAGCAGTCACCGTCCCAGCAGCAGTCGCCGCAGCAGTGGGCCCGTCTCCCGCCTGGTTGGCCCGGCACCTCCGGAGGTAGTGGCCGTGGTGGCGGCCCGCGCAGCTTGGCGTCTACCGGCGGCTCCGGTGCTGTCACCTGCCAGTACCAGCTTCAGACAGGGCCTCTTCGCAGCACTCTGTGCCGCCGCCCGCACCCGACCGCCCGCTGTTTCCGCCGCCTCGACGATCTCTTTCGTCGTCGTTTTGGCCCGGCCCCGGACCTCCCCGACTGGCACAGCCTGCTCCGCCAGGGCGTGCCGATCTTTGAGTTAGACATGGATCAGATAGGTGCTGCTTTGCATGCTTTGTATTCTGACGCTTCTAGTGTTGCTGGATCTTATTACCCTGTGTACTCTAGTTTAGGTGTTGCACCACTGTGTAGCTTAGCCTCCCCTGCTGCGTCAGGCGTAGGACTGCCTAGGTTGCCTAGTCTAGTCGCTGCACCGGCTCCGTCCCCGGCCTCCGCCACTGCGTCGCTGTCCTTCACTCTCGACTCCGGTGCTTCTGCCTGCTTCTTCCGCGACCGTTCCACGCTCACGCCGCTTGCTGCACCTGCTGTTGTCTCTCTCGCTGACCCCTCTGCGGGTCCTGTCGTCGCGCGCAGTTCTACGTCCCTTCCCTCTCCAGCAGTTCCCTCGGGCTCCCTTACTGGCCTCCTCGTTCCCTCGTTCTCCGGGAACCTGGTTGGTGTCGGCTGTCTCCAGGACCTCGGCGTCACCACCACGTTCCCTGGGCACGAGCGGTTCGCTGTCTGTTCTGAGGCTGTGTCAGGTTCCCCCCTTGCGACGTTCCCCCGGGACCCAGTGTCCGGTCTGTTTACCCTCGACACCGCTTCCCCCCCGGTTGGTGCGTCCTCCCAGGTCGCTGCAGCTTGCTCGTGTCGGTCCCTCACTCACCCGACCCTTCTCTGGCACCACCGCTTAGGTCACCCTGCTCTCCCACGTCTGCGTCACATGTCCCAGCATGGTCTTGTCTTAGGTCTCCCCGCGTCGCTCCCTGCACTTCCTCCCTCGACTGCGCCACCGTGCACGCCTTGCGTCGAGGGTCGGCTCCGCCATGCTCCTCACTCCTCCTCGCTGCGCCCTGCTACTGCCCCCCTTCAGACCCTGCACCTGGACGTTTGGGGCCCTGCCCCCGTCCCCGGACCGCGCGGTGAGCGCTACTTCCTTGTGCTCGTCGACGACTACACGCGCTACATCACGGTGTTTCCCCTAGAGCGGAAGGCCGACGTGCCCGACGTTCTTCTCCCGTGGGTTGTGGCTGCGCGTCTCCACCGCGGTCTCCCTGTGTTGTGTTTCCACTCCGACCGTGGCGGCGAGTTCGCCTCTGGTCAGCTTGGACAGTTCTGTCGTGCGGAGGGCATCACCCAGTCGTACACCTTGCCGGACTCGCCACAGCAGAATGGGGTTGCTGAGCGCCGCATCGGCTTGGTCATGGAGGTCGCCCGTACCTCCATGATCCATGCCGATGCCCCCCATTTTCTGTGGCCGTTCGCTGTTCGCTACGCTGCTCACCAGCTTAACCTGTGGCCACGCTTCCAGCGGCCGCAGGTTTCGCCGACCCTCCTTTGGACCGGGTCCCCGGGTGACGCGTCTGCGTTCCACGTCTGGGGCTGCCTTGCTCACGTTCGTGCCTCTGGCACGGACAAGCTCACTGCCCGCACTGTCCCCTGTGTCTTCCTCGGTTTCCCCCTGGACTCGTCTGACTGGCTTTTCTACCACCCGCCGTCTCACCGCTTCCTCCACTCTCGTGACGTCACATTTGACGAGTCCGTCTCCTTCTACCGCCGCTTCCCTCACCGGGGTCTCCCAGTTGCCCCCCCCCTGTTCCTTGCTCCCTCTCCCCCGGTAGCCCCTGCCCCTATCCCGAATCGTCCTGCCCCGTCGGGTGTCTCTCACGTCACTCCCCTCCCGTCGGTTGTCCCCATAGAGGAGTCGGTTGACTCTGGTGGTACCCCCGGCCTGTCCTTGCCGCGCCCCCCTTCCCCGGTGCCTCCGCCCCCACTGTCGCAGTCGCCGACCCCGCTGCAGCCGCCGCCGCCGTCGCCGCCGCAGCCGTCGCCACTGTCGCCGCCGCCGCAGCCGTCGCCGCCGTAGTCGTCGCCGCCACTGCCGCCGCCGCTCTTGGCCCCTGGGGGTGCTGGTGTGGAGGAGGGTGTTCGTCCTGCGGCTTTTGGGGGTGCCGCTGGTGTTGGCGGGGGTTCTCGCTCTGGGGGTGTTGGTTCTGGGGGTGCTGCTGTTGAGTGTTCTGCCGACGGTCGTTCTGCCTCTGCTGGTCCGAGAGTTCCGGCCCAGCCGTCGTCGCCGCCGCAGCAGCCGTCGCCGCCGGTCTCCGCTCTCCGCCTGCTCGGCCTTCCCTCCTCGGACCGCGCGACGGTGTCTCCCCCACCGCCTGCTGACCTCCCTGTCTACGGTCCTGTGTTCCCGCCGCCGGACTCGTCTCCGGCCCGTCTTCCTCCTCGTTCCCCTCCTGTGTCTCCTCCGCTGTCCCCTGACCCTACCCCTCCGTCTCACGTTTGGGCTC